TATTAAATAATAATATATTAAATAAATATATTAAATAAACATATATAATACAAAAACGGTTTCAGAAAAGAGGGAAGAAAATGAAAAAAAAAAAAGTGAAATTCGTTTTTCAAAAAACAGAAAACGAAAACGAGAAAATGAAAACACATTTTTTTCATTTTCTGATTTCCACAAAAAGACAAAAATGCTTTTGGTTTTGTTTTTTAAAAAAAATTACACCAAACACGTTTTTAACACCTGTTTTTATTTTTTTGCTTTGAAAACCGTGAAAAACGAAAATGAAAACGCAAACAAACAGGCCCTAATATTTCTTACGTATCAACCGTCGAATCTGTATTACTTTTTCAATCTGATTTGACTTTTGACTAAATTTAATACAAATTCGACCACTGATAAATAAAAAATACCAATGTTCTTAAAAAAAAGAGAATATAAAAAAAATCCCTATTTATTATTGTTTTAATAAATAAATTAAGATTTTATTTCAATATCAACGATTAAAACAACTAGAACCATATATCAGACCTTTAAAAATATATTTAAAAGGGACAAATTCTAGCAAAGAAATTATCTTTTTTTTAACAAAACAAATAATTTGTCAAATATTTATTTTAATTCTAATCACACGCCGTCTTTTTAAATTATTAAGCAAAAACAAAAAAAAACAAAAAAAAAACAAAAACAAAAAACAAAAAACAAAAACCAAAAACCAAAAAACAAAAAACAAAAAGAAAAAGAAAAAGAAAAAAAAAAACCATCACGTAGTTAAGACTTACCAGTTACGACAAACATTATGTTATATATAACTTAGTAGCATATCTATAATGATGAGAAGGGGACGTAGAGGTTGGACTAGATTTTAAAAAAATGCATTTGGAGATTAATAAAATATTGCCAGACCCAAAAATAATAATAATAATAATAATAATAAAAACTAACAAACAGGGTCATTCCATTATCCACTGAACGCTACAACTATGCATTTTCATAAATACCAATGAAGCTAAAGGATGAGCTCAAATATCTAGGCAAAGCTACATTTGAGGAAAAAGGTGCCAAAACTCTCAAATGGATAGAACTCCTAGAGCTACGGCAAAAGAAGATGCCTCGTAATTTTCAAAGTCGAGAGACCATCTGTTAGGATTAAATATCCATGAAAGAAAATTCCTCAAAAAAATAAAGGAAACTTCCACGAGAAGAAAAAAATAATAATCAACAGGAAAAGTATCTCATGTAGAACCAGCAACATTGTGCTTTGGACCGCTTGGACGGCCACTTCTTCCTCTCCCTTGCTGATAACCATCACCACCGCGCCCTGCCAAACTCCTACCTCGACCAGAGAACTCACCTCTGTTATTATACTCGTTTCTGCCAAAGCTCCGTCCACCGGCATAACTCCCATGACCCCTAAAGCTGTCACTCCGGAACCCTCCCCTCCCCGAGGAGAACCTACCTCCTCTTCCATTACTACCAACTGCAATATTATCACAATGAAAAGTTGATTCTTCAATTTTCAAACTTATTAATCTCTTTTTAATAATGAAATTACTTAACATCAATGCGTCGTTGGTAAAGGAGAATTCAAATATTTGTACACAACTTACCTCGGTTGGTAGTTCTTTTAATCTCAACAACAGCCTGACGCCCGCCAATAGTGATTGGTGAAGCCTGAAACTCAATTTCAAATGTCGAAATAAAATGAGACACGGATAGGTCAATATAAATCACTCGTGAAGCTTTCAAACAAAAAGGTAGGGATTGACAGTTAAAAGCTACAGTAATACGGATTAAAGAATCCTTTTTGAAGATGGCAACTCAGTTTCACTCGTACGTGTCTTGTGCCTCATATCAGAACGTAGCAATTTGATCAGGAACAAGTAAATGGTGGTTCCAGTAGGAAAAAATAGCTCACCACCTTAAGAAATTCAAAAAGAGTTTAATTATAATCAATCAACACGTGAACACACCTGAAGTGCGCTATCCATGGAGCTCAACGACTGAAATTCGACAAAGCCAAAACAGTATCCTTGTTGCTGCCAAGACAAAACACAAGAGGATGAAAAAAATTTGGTCAAAGAACGCAGATCATGTTCTGCGAAAGTAATGTCTCAGAGACGAACCTTATTATTTCTGACTTGCACGCCATCTGGCTTTATTGGTCCAAATTTCTTGAATTCTGCCTCGAGCTGAGCAGCCGTTACAGAAAAGGGCAGATTCTTTATGTAAATAGAATGCCCCTCAACTACAAGGAATTGAATGATGTATTAGATTCAAAATAACAAGCTTGCATTTTCCTTTGTTAATATATCTTTCTCATTAATCAACCGCAATACTAATCATCCCAAGTCCTAAATGATCATTACAGATGAATTGAAAGTTTCAGTTAAACCAAATAAAGGAGACAATAAATTTACTTTTTCAGGAACAAGAATATGAACAAAAACAAAAATCAGGAAAATGATCGTCTATGAAAGAAAAAACAATTTAAGTACCTTCCTCATTGTCATTGCTACTCTCTGGAGTGCTGGTGCTACTTGGTGCTGATGCTTCTGGCACTGAAGCAGGCACTGGTGACCCGTGAGACTGATTCTCAGTTTTCTTAGGAGGCACTTTTGCTGTATTAGTTGGCACATAAACTTTAGTCAGTCCCGGACTCCCTTTTGCTACTTTTACCTACAATGACACATACCAAACTATAATTCAAGCAAACACACAAACTCTTTCAGATGAAAATTCACTGTGCTGGCAACTCACGATTGATGCATATGACTTCTTTGGAGCATCCTCTGGGATCATCATAGAAACTGATTCAACTTCCACGGGCACGTCATTCCCATGTGAATGAGATGGGGGTTCCACAACTGATGCTTCTTCGTGAACAAATTGTCTCTCATTCTCTAATGCATCATAGCCTTTCTCGACAATATTTTTATCCAATTCTTGATGAACAGTTACAGGATCTGGTGTAGGAGGATCAGGAACATGAGTTGGCTCTGCAAACAACGTTCCAGAAGCTTAAAAAGATTTCAGATATTACCTGGATATTAGTGGCCAAAACAAAAAGGCTAACTTACCAGGGTCTACGGTTATGGGGACTTTTGTGGCATCATCAACTCCATTCACTGGACGATTCTCTAATATTTCTCCATCTTCTACGTACCTAAAGACATCATTTAAGACAAAGTATCCGTTGTCTTGTGGGGCAAGGAAAAATGATTGTGCAAATTTCCTTTTCAAGTTATCCTTGCCCGTCAAAGATCCAGTTACTAGCACAGTCACCCCATCTTTGTAAGACTTCTGAGCATCGGCTGTTTCTATCTCAGCCTTATACTCCTTGTAATCGAATGAAAGAATCTTCTCGTTGATATCCTGCTCCAACAAAAACAAAGCAATAATGTTTTAGCTGCAGTTAACGTCAAAATCTAGAACCGATTTTAGATACTTTTGATTCGGAAAACATTGAATCAGGGTTGAGGAATTATAAAGCCTTGAATATGAACACTTGCAATCCCAAATTTATCCAACAGCCAGCCAAACAAGTTGACCAGGATAGTAATTAAAAAAAAAAAAAAAGCACTTTGCAGAGAAAAGATCATGAAGTAAACCAATGAGAAAGCTTACTTGCATGGTGGTCACCGATGTCATCACACCATTGGCGTCGGGCCGGCTTAGCACACTTGAATCCTGATAAAATCTATAAACCAGCTCTGGAGAGTGGTGAAGAATATGGTAATACTGCTCAACAAAAGCGTTTCCGACAACTTGGGCACTAGGGGCCGTTGGAGGACTTGCTGTCTGCAAGGCCATTCTGTAAAAAAAACCCAGAAACAAAACATTATTGTCTCCTACACCACAAATACCTTAAAAAACTGGAAACATAAACAGAATCAGAGACGTGTGAAAACCCAGGTCCCCAGTCGGCAAGAAAGGCAAAGAAACCTAACATAAATCTCATAGCCTTTTAATATTGTCTTTATTCACCAACCCTAAATCATCTTACACGCCACAGAACAATGCTAAAGAACAAAGGAACTGAAGCAAGCTAATTTTTGGAGTTGTTTGAAGCAGCATTGATAGAAAAAAGAACATAGCTTTTGCTGTTTTCGCATTATCTACCCACATTGAAAAATAGAAAAAAGAAAAAAGTGGGCAAAAAGAGGAAACCCTAAAAACATTAAGGATTAATAGATAATTAATTAAAGCATGAACCGAGTAATATCTATCATAGCTAGCTGAGAAGAAGAAAAAGCATCCCAAATCTATAACACAATAAACTCTCGAAAATCCCTTAATCAAGCATTACTCAATTGTTGGATCAAAAGCAGAGCAAAACTCAAAATCTAAAACCCTAAATCCAATCCACCTCAAAAATACAAGATAACCAAAATCCCCCACAAAAACTACAAATTTATCGGTAAGTCAAATATAATAAGAACGAGCAAAACCCAATTTAAGAACCAGAGCAATGCCTGATCGTAGAAACTCGAAACAGCACAAAATATTAACCCGAAAAAAATCAGAAAAAGAAAATACTAATGTTAATTTTCCTAAAACATCACTAAAAAAATCAACAAACTGAAGCGGGCTAAAGAAGCCATTCGACAAATACACAAACTGCGATAATGCGAGATATTAACGTCAAGAGATTACCTTTGAATGCGAATGTTATGGCGAGAAATAGACTGAGAGAATGAAACGGCGAGATTGTACGGAAACGGATAGATTGTACGGAAACGTCGCCGGAGCACGCAGAGTGAGTATGAGTGAGTAAGTGAGAGAGAGCGCACGTAACAGGGAGAGTCGGAAAGCTACCTGTGTCCTAAGAATGTATCTCCAGCACTTGGTGGTTTACTGTGTCCTGTCACCTGTGTCCTGTTTGGGGTTATTTTTATATTTTTCTTTAATTTTTTATTTTTTTAGGGGGTCTTTACTTTTTATTGCGATAAATATATACACACTTATAAAAGTTAAGTGATAATCCGTATTTCCGTAATCCCTTAAAAAAAAAAAAAAAGGAGTTAATTAGTTAGGAAATTAATCTAGTGTTTTTTTTTTTTTTAGAAAATATAAGTGTTTTCTGTTTATTATTCATTAGATTTATATAATTATTTTTAATTTAATTAAATTTAATATAAATTTGACGGTTAATAAATATAAAAAATTAGTGTCTTAAAAAAAGGAACATAAGAGGAAGTCTCAATTAGTAATTACATTAAATAAAAATTAGGTAATTGACCATCTTTTAACTAACTTTTTTAATAAATGGCCGAACTTTTTGGGTGTGCTTTTCACAACTTCAATTTTTTATGTGGGAGAAAAGACTGTAACAAAAAAATTTTAAATTTTTGTTAAAAAAACACTATAATAAAAATATTTAAGTTGTAAAAAGAATAAAGCCTTTATTTTTTAGATAAATGACCAAACTTTCTCTATTTTAAAAAAATGATCGTTTTCTATCGTAGTCAATGGCCAATTAATGATTGATCAATTTATTATTAATTTATCAATAATTTATAATTAATGAACCTGTAATTTGTAAAAAAAAAAAAAGTTAGTTAATTACTAATGTATTTTGATTAATTATTAAATTATAGATAAATTAAAGTCAACCAATGACAATAAAAAGTCAATCAATACTTAAACCACTAAGTTAACAAATGAGAAAAAGAACCAACGTCCCTAATTTTATAAATTTCTCTAATTTTATAAAATTTAGACAATTTATTACAAAAGATCATATATTTCATAGTTAATTTTTTTTTCAATTTATCACTATATTTTAAGAAACTACAAATATATTATTTAAATATAAAAAATGTGACCATCTGTGAGATTTCGCATTTTTGTCTTTTTGGTGGAATAAAATTAAAACATATTTCTCAAATTTAAATAGTTCCTCCGTATTTTCGGAAAATGGAACTATAAAATGAGAAACAATGGAAACTATAAAGTACAATTACGCAACTAGTCGTAAAATTTAATAAATAAATGAGCACTTTTTCTTAGTCAACACAAACTTTAAATAAGAAAATAATTAATTAAAATACCTTTAATTAAAGAGAGAAAAAAAAAAGAAAAAGAAACAAAGAGTACTAAAGAAATTAATATCTAAGAAAACACCCTAATCACTTAAAGAAATTCCTAATTCTAACGCCTCCATGCATCACATTATGCTTCTTTGGCGAAGTTGGCGCAATGGAGGTCATGAGTGACGGTGAGAGTGCGTCGATGGAATCCTCGAGAAGCTCAAGTCAATATGGATTCATGGCAAAGGTAAGAGATCTTGGAGGATGTATTACTATTAGTATATTATATATAGAGCATATTGTTCATCATCTTTAAATTCTTATTCCACATTTTAGAAATTATCACACTAAATTATTAAGAAAATAAATTAGAATAAATATCTGTCTTCATTAATGCAATATTAATCTCCAATAGAAATCTTTAAGACAACGAACACGTCAGGTTATTGTATTCTTCAGTCAAATCACCAGATTCTTGAATGGGGTGTTTTATCTCTAGATGGAGAAAAAGAAAAATGGCCGAATGATTTAACATATTGAGGACCATAACCTAAATTTTTTTATATATTATCCCATTATGCTCCTATTAAACTTAATTATGTCAATATTAGGTATCCACTCATTTAGTTCATACACAGTTAAGAGACTATTAGGCTCTCTACAATTAGATCACTTAATTAATCTAATTAATTAAATAACGTTAATATAATTATTATAAATATGTAACTCATAATTATTATTAGAAAATATAATTTCCGACCATTAGAGCATCGTGTTGAAGGAAATATTGTGGACATAGATCTCTTTCTCTATCACACTGACAACGGCAGGAAAATCAACGAGCGAGTTCAAGTGGACGCTCAGGAGGTCTTAGGCTGCGTTCACTTTACGGATTCGAGTTTTTAATTTAAGCTGAGATGTAACATTTTTTGAGAGTTTTTCACTGTAGCAGAAAAAGTTAGATGTGACATTTTTGAGAGCCTTTTACTATAAAAACTTAAAATTAAAAACTCGAATCGATAAAATGAATGAGTCCTTATTCTTGGTTGGCTTAAATGCGAGTGAGGTTTGAAAAACATGCTATCGCTAAAACTAATGAATTAACAACGATAACATCATCATTCAAATTTTAACGGAAAAACATATATTAACAATTCAGTGTCATCTTTGAACCTTTTCCACATAGACACTATTTTTTTCTTAAACGTTTATTTTCTAATTAAAATTAAAACGACATATCGTCGCTATAAGTTTGACTGTTTGAGTTAATATAAAGCCTAGTTTTAATTAAAACATTGTTAATTTGAACTCGTTTACCGATGACACCAGGGTTATTATACAACATAACGTTGAAAAGTCCATCTATTTATTCATCACGGAGAAGCCCATTTGTCTTCTTCCTCCTTTATTTCTTTTCACCTTTTCCCCTCTTTGTTTTCCCTTTGCAACCATCCCTACCACTGTCGCACCTCCTCCGTCCTTCCACCTTCTCCAATTATTTGTAAGAATATTTTATTTTAGGTCGATTTTGTGTGATAAGCTTGTTTTATGATGTTTTTTAAAATGTTCAGGTTAAATTGTTGCATTAGAATTTTTTTTGATAATGATTTGAGAATATGTTTTCATGGTTATTTATTTATCAATGATTAATTTTAGTTATTTTTTGATGTCATCAAGTTTAGGTTTTTTTTTTTTTAAATTTTTTTCTTTTTATGGTGAGGTGTAGAGTTTAAATTCGCTCAACCAAATTTAAATATATAAATAAATAAATAAATAATATACTATTTGTTGTGTGGAAAATTCACACGCGACACATCGGACAACGAGCGAGCTACACGTGGCCCCATGCCTGCCACGTCAGGTAACCCTTGACGCCCAAGCCTCGTTGGTATCTCCCGAATGACAAGAGAGTCGAGCATACAAGATCGATACCGTCGACTGTATACACAGTCAAGGTCTGCGAGACCAGCTCGGGCAAAGTAGCGCGATAGAGTCGACCGCGAGAGACTATTCTCGGCCGATGTCAGTACAGGTGCAGAAGGCATACTCGAACGGCCGACTCCACATCCTGAGGCCCCTGCGGTGACTGGTTGAATATCCCAACGTTGCGTATGAGTTTGGAGGAGGTCAGTTGCACAGGAAATGATTACAAGCCCCTTAAACTACCTGGAATAAGTTAAAAGGTATTACAGACGGGCTGCAGAGCCGTAATAAGGGGACAAATTGGATGAGTGAACAGTTCAAAAGGTGTTGGCAAACTATGGTCTAGGCTATGGCCACTCGAGTGAATGAGCCCACTGGGGAAAAACCCACTGGTCCAAACTGCCCACCATTGGGCAAGACCCATGAGGGATGGGCTATATAAGGAGAAAGACCCCCCGAGAGAGGGGGCTGGCTTTGGACACATTGAAATCTTCTTGTAAACACACGAATCAAAAGTAATAAAATACAATGGATGTAGCTCTTATTTTAGAAGGGTGAACCACTATAAAACCCCTGTGTCTTCTATTTTTGTGCTTGATAGATTGTTCGTCTTCGGTAATCTACCAATCAATACACTCACACACTTCCACACTCAGCAAAAACACTAGTTCCGAACCGGTAACCAAGCGGGATACCGTGGGGTAACCTGGTACGGCTTTGTTGGTGAAATTTACCCGTCAACAATTGGCGACTCCACTGGGGACCGAACCTGGAATCTCTGGTTCGCGCATTTAACCCTGGACATAAAGCAGTCATGCCTCGAAGGAGAAAGAATGACGCTTCAAACCAAAACATCGAGACAAAAGAAAATACTACGCATCCAACCAACGGCGGGAGTGGAGGGAACCAGCCCGACCAGGGGAATCAACCCCTGGTGAGGGATGAGGTTCCACCCCCAGGCGCGCCACAGCTTGACCCGGTACAGTTGCAGGCCTAGGTGAGCACTCTGACCAACTTGGTTCTGGGGCTAACGGCCATTGTTGAGCGGATAGAAGAGAGAAACTCTATGCCCCCTTTGGAAGATGCCCCGAGACCACTGGGAGCTGCCCTGGCTGGGAACCAGAACTCTGGTGACCGCCAAGGTGCCCTGGAAGGGATCGGGGACAGTGAAAACGCTAGGGGAGGCATTCAGAGACCTCGACCATCTGGGTCCCTTGGCAGCCGACAAAGGGCCGCCAGGCGACGAGCCCAAGGGAGAAGAACGCTCGATGGCCTGAACAACCCTGAGGCGCCCCTTCGAAACTCGGGAAGAAACATCCCAGGAGATTCAGGGTCGGTGCAGGAGGGCGGAGACCTTAGAAATAGGTTGAATCGGAGGAAAGCAGCAGCCTCGAAAGGAGCCACCTCAGCAATCTCTACGGAAGAGGCCAAAGCTATCATGGACCGCGTCGTAAGCCTAGAATAGAAGTTCTCGGGTGACGTCGCCCGCTTGAAGAAAGATGTCAAGAGCCAGGTGAGCCACCTACAGAAAAATCTAGGGCAGGAGGCTGAAGTGGTCAACGTCGACATCACATCTAGTGGTGAAACTTTGGGCCAGCGGGCAGGCCCACTGCCTGAATTTTTTGGGCTCGGCGGGCAGGCCCATTTGCCGGCCCAACCAAAGTGAAAATTCAGGCTCGGGCTCGGGCAGTCAGAATTTGGGCACCTCCCCAGAGCCCGCCACCGTGTAGGAGCCATCAACCGCTGTCCGTCGGAGTTTTTTTGAATTTTTCCGGCCAAGCCCGATTTGCCCGAATGCCCGGAATTTGGGCACCTCCCCAGAGCCCGCCACCGTGTAGGAGCCATCAACCGCTGTCCGCCGGAGTTTTTTTGAATTTTTCCGGCCAAGCCCGATTTG